CTCCGTCATATCTTCGAGGCAATTTGATCATAACTAACGTTTATCGGTTCTCATTAAAGACACTTGATTCTCCATCGCCTCGTCTTGCCTTCCAGTTATTTAGATAAATGTGTGCGGCACAAACCCAATACAAGTAGATATTATATAATAAATACGAATAATTAAAAAGTAGAGCCAACGATTTTAAAAAATACAACAGCTTATATTGCTCGATTAAAATTGTTATTCTTATTACATTTTTGTGCTCCTACTTTCTCTTATTTTTAAGTATCTTGTTTCGTCCGAAACGTTAGCTATCTTACTGTGCTGTGTATTGTATGCACATTCGAGAGAAATCAGAATGGCGTTGATACAAGAGAGACAGCTAAACAGGTATGCCTATTGTACATACATATATGTACGTATAAAATCTTATCTCTGCGCTGCGGATTATCGAATTTCCGCGAGCGTTAGATTAGATTTCTCGACGACCGCGCACGCTCAGCTACACCGGTTTCTGAAAATAAACGCGTACGAGGATACCGTCATCGTCGCCAGTACTCTTCCCGACGTTGTATATAACGTTGTATGGCGCCTTGGACATGTATATAAGGTTTATGTACGGTCTATACAAAGTGACGCGAGTGCACGCAATTTCGTGAAGATTTATTAAATTATCGATATTGTTTCATAGATAAATAGAGTGTAAATTTAAACAGACTGAATTTCAACGATAAATTCTTTGGCAGATTTGGAACAAATTTTTCCATAGTGAAAATGTCAAGATAGGTCAGTATTTATTAGTCTTTCAAATTTCAACATTACAGTCGGTGCAATTAAATTTAAATTTTATTGAGATTTATTGTAAATTAAAGAAAGATTCAAATTAATAGTATTAATGAAAGTTGGCTTTTACTGTAATATAATTAACGAAGCAATCAATATTTTAATTTAATTTTACTTTTGTGAGTCTTCTCTATTCTAAAATTTTGGAAATTATATCTATATATTTTCCCTTCCCCCTCCATTTCTTTCTCTGTCTTGCACGAAACATATAGTATGCGATAGTAATTATTGCAATTTATCCAAAATAGAGGCCAATTCAGAATCTGGTATTAGCCTACTTATTGCAAATGATCAGTTCAAATCTATAAAAAGCCTATTAATTATGTCAATCATTGTTAGAGGGTATTTGCATAATTAATGATCATTGTAAAATATTACATTTTGCTAATCTGAAAATATTTGCAGAATTTCAGATATCAATATAAATTTGCTTATTTAGGTAAAACTATATATGTCATTCTTCGTAATTTTTTTCATATGTCTCTACTCTCGCGTACATGATTTTCCTCGGCAGTTTTCCGCAGAAGTCGCGATTCTCGTTTTAGAGAAACATCGATCAGATTGACGGATGATATTTTAATAAGCACTGATACCAAACACGTGTCATATCGGATAATATTACATCGTTTAATACAAAGTGACAAAATATGAGACAGCCGTATTGAAAAGAAAATGATAAAATGAACGTATTTGATTAATTGGAATAACATTTTTTGTAAGTTGAAATAAAATAAATATGTATGTTTAGTAATTATCATTTTTACTTTTTCCATTTTAAAAACTGACTGTGAAAAATCGTTATTGCACTATAAACACGTAAATATATTATTATTATATCCTGGACGGTATCTTATGATTAAAGCAAAATCAAAAGGCGATGTTTCATTTTCGACGATAATCATCTTATAATATTGCTATTGTATGTCTTGCATTTTCGTATTAGATGCTTATTGAAATTTCAAAGCGGTTTGTCAGAGTTTAGAGAATAGTTTACTCACGTTGCCAATTACAAGTGTCGCACCATGGCGCATAAACCCCTTTATTGTGGAAACTTGCGCGGCTTATTGTTGCAAAGTACGCACGTAGCCTCGATATTACTTGCAGCTAATTCTCGCACGCGTACAGCTTACTATTTACGTATTTACCAAGTTATTTTAACGATCAATGAGAGACTTCACTCGTTTTATATTTTACTATACTATGGCATTGATAGCTGATGGATTAAAAATATTTTATTGCAAATAATGTGAAAATTTTAATCCCGTTAAGATTGACATAATTTATAATTATTTGATGATTATATAATATATTTCAATTTTCGCGAATTTAATTATATAATTTAAACTCGCTTACGCTCTAAGCTTTTACAACCCCCCGAATTCTCTTAGTTCCAATAATCAAATAGTATGTTGACACGTAGAAGTACACATAATCTATGCACATATTTGCTCGGCTTCAAATTCGTGATTTATCACATAATGAAGCGACACATCCGGAAATTCGGATCGAACTTAGCCCGAGAAAGTGATCTTTCCGTAGCAGAATCGTTACATATATCACGTGTTAAAATCTCGTAAAATCGCTAACGTTCGCCTTTTCAAGAATGCGGGTGAATCGAGCACCGGTGCGACATAATGCTTTACGACATACATTTGTCAGATAGCAATTTGACGTTTGCGCGGAACGGCCATTTCGGCGCAACACCGAAATGTACGACGTTTGGCCACCCACGCGAGGTATGACGCCGCCATGACGCATGTAGTTCCGTCGGAATTCGAATCTCGTGATTAATCGGACGATGGCTCTCTCGATTCGCCATTCTGACCCATTTTCTCTGAAGCTTCTGTCCAGATTTCGCGCTGGAACTTTCGACGTCGTTAAGGCCCATGTGACTATTCGCCGAGATTGATTGTGACCCGGAGAAGTACGTTCGTTTAGAGAGGGAACGGCCGTCAGTATTCATCAGCCAGTTTGTATTTCATTAAGTCGAGAGCAACGCGGGTAAACAAGGTAGAGAGCGCGACGCTTTTGTAATCCGGAAGTGAACCCATCTTGTATGCACACGTACGTTCTGCTCATTGCGAGGACAATCGTGCCCGTGACAATGACCTATGCAATTATGCGAATTCGATGTATCAGCATTGTTAATCTCTTTCTCGTTGCATTGTGCCTTTCTCACAAAAATAATTTACACACACAAATAAATAAATCTATATCCGAAGTTTCAAACGTGAAAAGCATAAAAAGCACATATATATATCGAGCAAAGGAAAAAGAAATATTAAATTTTGAACGAGATAGCCGAGATCTATCTGTCTATCTCGAATTCCTGACGTAATTCCTGACGAAATCCCTGACGATTTCAGGCGTAACCGCAGATACTATTACTTTAACGCGCAACCTTGCTCTTCCTCGTTTTTTTTTGCCGCGATGAAAAATAACTAAGCAAGAACACACCCTCCCATGTATATGTACGCACGTGTCACTATTTCCGGCCACTTCCGCGAACGCGTTATTCTCGGTTATATACGCTCTGTCGCGGCTACTTTCTGCCAAATGGGTCGACACACAGGCTATTTACCTCGATTCTTTATCGGGGACGAGAATTTATTAATAGTAGCAAACCGTGCCTCTCCGTCCGTGAAACTTTATCTTATTTTTTATAATCTTTCTTTCTTTCTTTGGATAAGTTTGACAGTATCTAATAAAATGTCAAATCACATTTTATGATGAAATACAATAAATTGCAAAAAATAGATATATCATTAAAGCTTTTAATCCGAAGAAGACATTTGTATTATAAAAATCAAAAGGTTAAGATAAGATTAATCATAAAAAAAATTGAAGAAAGAAAATGCTTCTCTTTTTTGTTTTCTTTTGTTGATCTGTATCATCATCGATAAATACGGTTCATAAATTCGTAACAAATATACTTGAAATTTTAGAGTAATTTTGTGGAACTAAAACAATTAATGTTAAATTCCAAGAAATATATATATATATATATATATATAGCGTTCAATTAAATTTTTGTTAATTAAAAGAGTTTTCAACAGAGAATATTTATTCATAAGATGTACCTATGTAAATTGCAAAAGATGTAAGATTATTATTAAATATTTGTCTGGAACATCGATAACGATATCGCTAACTAGAAACATTTCTGATTTCAGGGGGGTCCGTCAGGGGGGAGATTGAACCTGGCTCAAACGAACTCACACCTGGCAGACGGGCAGGCAGTGCTGGCGGGGGCAGCGTCGGCAGCGGTGGCGTCTTGGGGGTCGGTGTCGGCGCTGGCGGGGGTGGCTCGGGGAGCCGAGGTTCCTCCGGCGGTGGTGGCCGCTCGAGGGACGAGCCTAGAAGGCACACCCTCGGCGGCGATCATCAACCGTCCCTTCATCATCAGCAATTCAACGCAGCGCAGCAGCTGCATCCCCTACACCCACATCATTTGCCGCCACCACACGGCCAATACGGCACCCCGCCATCACGACACACCACTATGGATCTCGAGGTGAATCTTTGCTCGCGCAACATGTAAATACACATATATTTAATTGTTTGCGATGATTTTTCGTAATCTCGATTTGTTTCCTTCCTCTTATCCTTTATTGACATTTATTCTATGAATGTGTAGAATCTCGATCAATTGGCATAATTAGAGATATTATGTAATCGTATTATTTATTTTGAGTGATTTAGAGATGATGAGTGAATTAATTATATTTAATGAATGTTAAAAAAATAATTAAATTTAAATTAATAATGAAATATAAATTAATTATTAGCTATTAATCGCGAAATAACTTTTCATTATTATATTGTGACTTAATTTATTACACTAACAAATTATTTTATTGGTACTAATAAAAATAGCAGTTATATAAGCACCGTAATTTATAATTTATAAAACTATTTAAATTAAATCACACGATATTCTACATACTTCGAATCTTTAATAGCCTGAATTAGTGCCATTTCTATCTAATTCACAGTATCGAGATTCTACTATATCTCCTAAAGTGTGATAACCAGAGTCCAAATATTTAACTTTCTTTTTCTTCGATTGTGGTATGTATTTTTCATTTTGTGTGATTTCTATACTAGAATTTCCGCATTCTGTTTCCATATTTTTGAAAATTTTACCTCTCTACACATTTATCACATACTTGTTTTTTTCATTTCTAATATGTAATATTAACTATTGCCGTGATACATGTTTATATTATACTTTATATTATACATAAGGGATACGTATAACGTTTACTATAACGTTTTACCGTGTTCAAAAAAATTTTATCTCTGGATAAAACTTCTATGTTTATCTACATGTCGAAATTTTCATACATAGGATTTATCTTCTTTTTTCTATATTTTACGTTTGGGATGATTCGATTTTTATGGGTAATTGAACATTTTCTTTATCACGAAATGATGGTTTAATATCGTACATCGTTCAATGCATAAATGAATAGTTCAGGATACGTAATATTTGAGCTCTTATTTCAGGAGACAGTTTTCTGTGGAATCAAAAAAGAGAAAAAAAATTTGAAATTTATATTTTAGCAAATATTAAAAATTGTTACCTCACACAAACCATATTTATAACTCATTTATTATTATGATGTCAAGTATTACTACTCGTGTATTTTGTGCAATTTAATTTAATTTTGCTACAATATATGTAAAAGAGAAAGAGAGAGAGTTAAATTAGAAAAAAATTGGAAATGGCATTTTATTGCCACGTCCACATTTCCTCCTCATATTTCCAGCAATTTAGACGATAAATGACATTTGAGATAAACGTTATCAACAATACTTTAAATTAGTCTGCTTTTTCCAACATGGCATTGTAACTTAGAATACGCATAATCGAGTGTGCTGCAATAAATAATATTATTTTTAGAACAAAAAACACTTTCAGAATCGAATCGAATTAAAATCCAGTTTATTGTTTATCTTCTCTGAAATAAAATATTATTACCAGAATTTTTATTATTTGCAAATAAAATTCGTATTATATTGCTGTATTATTCAGCTTTAATTATTTCGATATCCAACGAGTTATTATTTAATCGATCAAGACAATAGAAAATGTTTTTTTTTTTTCAATTCTATATATGGTGATATGTTTCGTTTGCGGAACGAAAAAGTAAATTAATCGCGATTTACTATAATCTTATATGTATAGCAGGGACCATAATTTATTTTGACACGTGATTGCCTACATGTAATTTTACTTTTCATCTCGAATTCTCTTCTTCCGCGAATTCTTTTCTTTTTCAAATACGTACGTTGTTTAACTCAGAAATATTTGTCTTATGAATTATAAACATTTGCGTCTCTAACAAGCATAAACTAAAAAATTAGTAAAACTGTATAAAAGGTAACATACCTCCAATTTTATTGCCACTTAAATATGTTGTAGAGGAGGCTTCATAGTTTTAATGCTTTTTCTATTATAAAATAAAGAAACATGAAGTTTGTTTATGTTGTATTTGTGTAGAGCAGACGTGGAAAAAGTGTTTGTTTACATTTACGGAATAGGTATACACTCATGGATACTTTGTCAATAATGTGTTTCACCTATTTCTCGCAGTTCGTTAAAAGCTTTCAACATGCGACTACATGAATTTCTAAGTCTTGTTGAAAGTAGGAATAAGTTAATAGTAAATTTTAGTTTTAAATCAGAGATAAGTTTGGCTTAGGATATATTTTCCGGAAGTGGAGCCCGGAAGATATAACCTAATCCAAACCTATTTTCAGTTTTAAAAGTAAAGTTGAGTTGGGGAAAAAAAGAGTTTTTTCGGGGTGGGGTGCAGAGGGAGGGGCTCCTTCCTCCGCCCACGGATTCAATAAATAATATTTTTGAAGACATGACTCAGAAATTCATGTAGTCGCATGTTGAAAGCTGTTAACGAACTGCGAGAAATAGGTGAAACATATTATTGACAAAATATCAATGATCGTGTATCTATTCCGTAAATGTAAACAAACACTTTTTCGTCTGCTCTACAACAAATATAACGTACACAAACTTCACTTTTCCTAATATTACTTTATAATACCTGAGAAAAAGCATTAAAACTGTGAAACTTCAATTTATTATATCTCCTAAACTATAATACCGTCCTTCATTTATTTCTTGCAGAGAATTACTCAGAAAAGCTTCCTCTATAATATATTTAAGTGGCGATTAAATCGGAGGTGTGTTATCTTTTATGCAGTCTTACCAAAAAATTAATTAATTAATATAATAATAATTTACGGAACTGAAATTTTCATTGTTGATGAATGCGGGAACTTATCGCAAAGCTTTTACGAGACTCATCATGCATCGCGATATTGTTTAATTTAATAATAACACATTCCCATATATCAATTATCAGAGAATATTGTTAATGAAATATAATTCGTACATGTAATATACGACATTATTATTATATACCCTGTTCAATATTTAATATATAAAGTTTGTTTATGCAATAAGTTTACAGATTTAAACAAAGAAGCGCTCGTCCATTATTAAAATGAATTGCATTATTAAATGAAGAAACTATTTCGGCTAGTTATCATTTTACGCGATCAATTTTTTAAATTTTCTGAACCTATGGTACATTTGCTGGAAATAGATGATGAACTCAATATTATTGAAATACTCGCAGCTTTAACGTATATTAAGCGGTCTAGAACCGCCGGTAATGAGGGAGAAAGCGTTTAATTAATTATCATCCACCTGCGACGTCCTCATTTCTTGTGCTCGTTCCCGATAATGGAAGGGTTCCCGACATACCGAACCTAAACGCAACCTATATAGCTGCGTCTTCTTGATGTTACCAGATTTCTGCTTCATTTTTCAGTATTTTAATTACCTGGATGTTCAAACTTTTATAATTAAAAGCTGCGGATAATTATGTGAGGTTTGCATCTTTCATCTTTAAAATGTCCAAATATTATAACAGCCGTGTCTATTACAAATATATTCCATCTCTTTTTTTCGAGTGAGTAAAATTTAGAAAAATTGATTCAGAAATATCTACTCATAAATCTAAAATATCTATAATATTTAAAATATATACTTATATTTTGTGCGAAATTAAGATTATCATTTAATGTTTAAATATTGACATTTTATTGACATATAGCTATTAAATTTTGCCCTCGAAAGATCTATAGATCACTGGACTCGTGTCAGATGAATATCGTACGATCGATTAGATCTCGGTACGCGGTTATTGAACATCCTCGGGCTTGTCTTTGTGGTTTGTAGGAGATAATCGAATTGGACGCGCAGGTGGTGCACATTCGAGATAGCCGATGCGAGCGTCACTTCTTCTCTATTAAAGCAGTTCGTTTTGTTACGATACGACACGAAAAATAGAATTGCATTCCGAATCATAAAAATATATCGCTCAAAATGATTACGGATTTACTTGTTTAAATAACTAAATAATTTTTTAGAAATAACCATACCATTTGAAAAAAGATTTAAAAAATACTATATTTAGAATATTGTGTTTCATAAATCTATATACTTGGGAAGTATATATAAAAAAATATAAACAGCAATTAGCTATCAATCCCAATTACCAAAATGTTAAATATTAAATATTACACATAAAATTATATCATATTAAAATGTTTTAACTATACAAGAAAAAGGTGCAATAAATAATATTTTCTTACAATATCAGTACAAAATAATTGAGAAAAATCGTTAACTTTTTTCGAAGAAGAAACACATATAGATTATATGATTCATGAGATATTTTAAAACATCGTGTTGGCAAAATCTGTTCGAACAGACTTGGCTATCTGGGTATATAATATGAATCTATACGTTGAAAAGACGCGAGAGGAAGTTAAAAAGCGAGTGGTCATATTCGTAATAAAAGCAGGCGAGTTTTTTTATTTATTTACGCTCTACATGTGTATACATAATTTTTATCTCTCTCTGTTATTTCGTCGCATACGCCTCGCGCGCACACACACACGAGCGTAACTTTCGTATCCATTCGTGTGTAACCCAACTTTTCAAGTTACTCCGGCTTCTCTCTCTTTCTCACTTGCATTCTTTTCTTGCCTTTCCTACTTTTCATTTTCTTTATTTTTATCTTAAAGCGTAACATCGTAGGTACTCACCATGATTCTCGAACGTGAGCTGTATGTACATGTATAGGCTGCATATCATACGCAGGCGATATTTATTCTCGACGATTGAACTCTGCACTAACTTTATTAACACATACCGTTTGAAAATACGTTCGCGCTACCGACGCGATAAACTCTAAATATGCGTAATACGAGGCGCGCTCGATACTTTATTCGACACTCCCGATACTTTATTCGGCACTCTCGATACTTTATTCGGCACTCCCGATATTACAAGCTTAATTAGGAACGATATTTATACGTAAATTAATTCGATTCAGACGCTCGCGCGCACGGGACGAGACGCGAAATTCTTATGATCGAAATATCGTACATAATTTAGTTACGATGTTCAGTTATGTCGTACTTTTACTATAATTAGACGGATTACGATATTAATCAGAACGATGGACCGATTTCGTTCTTTCAACACTCACCATGGCACACGATTCCCGCGATTAATCCGCACTTCGACACGATAAAAATTTATCCCGGTCGTCTCGCCATTAACAACCATAAACAACACTGTAAACTAGCGCGAAAACCACCAAACATTTTCCGATTCCGTTACGGCGCTATGATCGGAGCCGATTTCAGGAGCTTTTGATTAACCAATCAGAACCAAAGAAATCCTTGCTCTTAATTGGTCAATCGAGCGTTACGACTTGAAGCGTCAAGACGATGGCACTCGTATCGCGAGCGACGAATCACAGCGCGAGATGAAATTAAAGTACAAGCCGTGTGGTGACGCTTCACATTCGTACTTCACGATCTTTTAATTTACGATTCAAGGCATATCGCGACGGTTACTTGTGACGTCGGGACGTTTGATTTGAACTACGCATAGTGTCGAATGTTGAACAAGCTATCGGCCGATCTTCTCACAATGCGCAGATATAATGTATCGCATCGGCGTAGCGGATATAGGTATGTACATATATATGTATATATACACGAGTACGTACAGCCGCCGAATTTTTTTATGTTCGCGCGGTGAGACTCGATCGGAATGCGCGAAAATAATGATGCAAACGGCGGCGTCGCCGCATTCCTTCTCGAAGCGTCGTCACATAAAGTAGCGTAAGTAACGCCAAAACGCGTAATCATTACATTCTGCGATTATTAATGCATACGATTAGTCGATTCTTTCGATATTATATTTTGAATAGCTATTAACTCTACTCGTGTAATATTAACCGAAAATTCGTGTGCGATTATTTATTTACTACAAATATTTATTTCTTTAAACACACACACACACATACATAGCTGTTATTAATTACTTTCATATATAATATCTTCTACTAAGGTAAAGCAACATAAAACGCTTCTCGCGTATTCAAATATGTATAAAATATTACTAGATATATATCTGCATATATTATGCTATTTATAAATATGTTATAATATATCTATTAATTATTACATTCAGTCCTAGATTTGCTATCTTATTAAATTTCCGGATGAAAATACACGCGAATATTTCGTTGAAAGTAATAAATCAATTATTGCTAAAGCTTCTGCACTTTGAAATAGAAAGAAAGAGAGAGAGAGAGAGAAAATCAAAATATCGTTCGCGGAAATTGTTTCGACAAGTGAGAAGTTGGCACTTATGTAGTATTTTGTGGCCATCTTTACATCAATACGTTCAAATTATAACAACTAATCTATGAGTGAAGAGCAGTTCGATTCTCAGAGTGATGAAAGAACGCATATTTCTCTCTCTCTCTCTCTCTCTCTCTCTTTCTCTCTCTATTTGTAACAATCGTTTTTCCGTCTTTTTTCTATTTCGTCTTTTTTTCTATCCCGCAACACATATTACATATCTCTAACTGGTTTTTACTTTGTGTGTGTGTTTCCGTGTTACCCGCCGTATGTGCCACCGACAGATGGGGACCAAGTCTCGCCAGAGAAAGGTAATTTTCGAATTTTCATACTTTTTACGCAAGATTGCCTGCGCAATCAATTCTTTTTTTTTCCGTCAACGTGCATGTCGGCATGCTGACATGATCGTTTTTCTCTGAGTGGCATTTAATTCTCGATCCTACCGTATGTCTTTAACTGTTCGCTCGAAAAAATGTTTCTGTGTGAATATATTTATAGTATCAGGTAATAATCACGCGTTAAATTTACATTTATCTAATTCATCTAAACATTTATAATTTTATCAATTACATAATTGTCAATTTACAAATATATATTTAATTTTTAATAAATATTATAAATAGATTATAATAAATTTGTGTTAATTTGTTCGTGTACAATTAGATATGCGAAATTGCAATTGTTAAACATCTCAAATAAATTAGTGAAAATATTTTGGTGTGCATGCCACTAATGAGCGATTTGGGATACAACGAGGTACTTTCGAAGACCACAGATGTATCGAAATCTTATAAAATGTATGTGTTTTTAGTCGCCTCTTCCGCGCGGGTATCCGCCCCCATCTTCGACGATGCTCTTCGATGACGACCCGGGCATTATGTCCGAGGTGGAGACCTCCAGCACAGGATTTCGACGAGGTGGCAAGCAAAGAAGCAGCTTGCCCGTTGTACGAACACCCAGCAAAACTTTGGAGCGACCACTAGGTAATACACAAAGCATAATTAAAATGTAAATAAATATACATGGACAAAGAAATTATAATGAATCAATATTGATTCACTAACATAAGTCATATTATTATACATTTCTCAATATGTGAAGTCTAACTATAAAAATTGGTAAAAAAATATCATATATATTTATA